TTTCACAGCAAGGTTGCAATGTTTCGGCCCTCCTCTGGGCCTTCGTCTTAACAATATGACTGAGGACCAGAGTAGGGCTGAAATGCGCCAACCTTGCTGTGAAATGGACTCTTTTTAGTGTCCTGATGGAATATCGATGAAACGTTTCTTCATTTTATCTCTGGTTGCACCAAGCTGCCAGACTTCTATTTTCTCTATAGATGCCGTATGGTAGCTGCTGACTTTTTTAAAAAAAACAGCCACTCACCTGTCCCTCGGTCTTGCGGTGTCCTCCCCGCATCCCTTTTCACTGGCCGTTCTGTATTTCAGTGCCGGCATCTTCAGTGTGGGCACCCAGCTGTGACAGCTTGCGGCTCCACGGTGCCCACTGCGCATGCGCTTCCTGAATGGCCCCGTAGTCTTCTGGGACCTGTCACATGTCCCAGAAGACTACGGGGGGTGGGGGGAGAACAACCTCCAATTGCATAGGTGATCGAAGTGGGAGTGGGTACCTGTCAATTTCTGGTACCCGATCCCCAAAGGTGCCAATCCTTAGTGGGGAGCGGGGGACCAGTCTTTAAAGCAGAACTTCCCTTTTGGGTGGAGCTCCGCTTTAAGCTCACTACCACTTTAAAAGGCTTTTGTCCAAAAAATGTGTTATGCCTAAAAATCAAAGGGTCAGGTGGTGGTAAAACAATTCAGGCAGAGAATATCATACAGAAATGGGTAGTATGAGGAGATCACTCACAAGATATCCTCCAAATATTTCATTTAAAGTGATGCTAAAAGATCCTTTTTCTTCCAAAATCGTCCATATACATCCACTACCTAATGGTCCTGGAATCTGTTTTTCATTAAATTGTTTTTCTTTTTCTGCCTCCTCAGTGAGTCCCTAGTCCATCTCGAAAGAGAGCAAAAGAGGGTGGCCACATTCCTACGTACAGTGGGACTGTGGTGAACAAACGTAGCCACCCTCTAGCAGGAAGTGAGAGCAATAGAAGGAGCTGGAATAGAATTATTGTTTAGTTTCAGTTTAAAGGCATCTGGTGATACGTGAGGGTCATCTACAGACATAACTGGGACCAGTGAGGTGGAACTTTTGGCAGGATTGGCATCTTTGGGCAGTGACCCTCAGGATTGGCATCTTTGGGCAGTGACCCTCAGGATTGGCATCTTTGGGCAGTGACCCTCAGGATTGGCATCTTTGGGCAGTGACCCTCAGGATTGGCATCTTTGGGCAGTGACCCTCAGTTGGCGTCTTTGGGCAGTGACCCTCAAGATTGGCGTCTTTGGGCAGTGACCCTCAGGATTGGCGTCTTTGGGCAGTGACCCTCAGGATTGGCATCTTTGGGCAGTGACCCTCAGGATTGGCGTCTTTGGGCAGTGACCCTCAGGATTGGCGTCTTTGGGCAGTGACCCTGGATTGGCAGTGTCTTTGGGCAGTGACCCTCAGGATTGGCGTCTTTGAGTATATTGACCTAATTTCTCGATCTCGGGTCAGTAGAGAGTTCTACCTATGAGCATTAAGGTGGAGGACATGTTTTGTGTATCTTTGTGATGTTTTTCTGGCTGAAGTGCTACATACCTGGAGATTTCGTTACTGTGGACTGTATAGAGTCCTTATGCTAGCAGCTATTTAAGATCCTAGACCTAAGAGTGGAATTTTTACCATACTACCGTAAAACCTTTCCCCCCCTCTCCTGTCTGTACTCCTCCTTATTTAACCTGCACCCCCTCCTCATCCATCCCTTTGTCCTCATAGGCAGATCCTCACCGCTCTACAGACTGTCCTCCCTCTCCGGGCTCAGGATGACCTTTGCCTCTGGGGTCACATTGTGTCCGGGGTCATGCTATCTCTGAGGTCACATTGTCCTCCGTCTCTATAGTTAGGCCTGTCTCTGGGGCCACGCTGTCATCTATCCCTGGGGTCACACTGTTCTCCATCTCTGGGGTCAGGCCTGTCTTCTGTCTTTTGAGGTCATGCTCTCCTCTTCAGAGTCGCACGCTTCTCTGTCTGCAGGGTCACGCTGTCCTCTGTTTCTGGGGTTTGGCTGTCTGTGGGGTCATTCTGTCTCCAGGGACACACTGTCCTCCATCTCTGGGCACATGCTGTGTCCATGGTCATGCTGTCCTCCGTTTCTGGGTCATGCTGTCTCCAGGGTCATGCTGTCCTCCATCTCCGGGGTCATGCTGTCTCCAGGGTCACACTGTCCTCTGTTTGTGGAGTTTGGCTGTCTCTGGGGTCATTTTGTCTTCATGTCCTCTGTCTTTGGGGTCATGCTTTCTCCATGTTCACTCTGTCCTATGTCTCTGTGGTCTGGCTGTCTCCAGGGTCACACTGTCCTCCATTTCTGGGGTCAGGCTGTCTCCAGAGACATATTGTCCTCCTTCATTTCTGGGGTCAGGCTGTCTCCAGAGACATGCTATCCTTCATTTCTGGGGTCAGGTTGTCTCTGAGACATGCTATCTTTTGTTTCTTGGGTCAGGCTGTCTATAGAGACTTGCTATCCGATGTTTCTGG